GTACAGCCTGCTTCCACCAGGACTCACTGCTGAGCCATCAGCGTGAAAATGACAAAATGAACCGATAAGTTCTGATGTGCAATGAGCTATTTTTTGCTCAAAGGACAATGCATTTAGGGGAGATAATTCCTTCCTCTACTCCCAGATCGGTGGTGTGGCTCCAGCAATGTTTAAAATCACTTCTCCAAGGAAAATGAAGTGAACCAGACGGGGCTCTCCAGCAGAAACAGATGGCAGCCTTAGGAGCTGATCAGGAAAAACACTGTGCACACACTTTGCTTTTGCCTTTGTGAGTCATCTAATTGAAGTTAGACCTGCAGAGATGAGTACTTCCAGGACTTGGCCTTTGGCAGTGGTGGGGCAGCCCAGAATCTGTGGAGGTGTTTTACAGCAGCGCTCTGCTGGCAGCTCGTTTTGGGTTAGGATAGATAAATTCAGGGAGTCTGAGCCTCGCCAGGGGTTCTGGTCCTTGGCTGCTGCTTGCTCCATTGATTTCCTCCTCCAATTTCAACTCTGCTTGTTGAAGTGACTGCAGCAAATCTTTCTCTGTGTGGGGTGGAGAAGTTCACAGTGTTTTGTCACTTTGAATGCAGTAAATCAAAAATCTCTTTCAGTTTGTAAGCAAGTTCCTTCTCAGAACTCTCAGCTTTTAAGGGTTTTAGCCTAAGCTGCTGTTCTTGGGAGGCTCCTCCAGAGATGGGTCTTCTGAAGGATGGGGATTTTTTTTTCTGATTCTTATCCTAAATTTATTTGGGGACAACAGTTATCCATCTGTTCTTAACCCAGCCTTGTCCCTCAGCTTAAGTAGCACTTTTACTTCACTGATGGCCCCTTTCACTTCTCCCTTCTGGCTTTCCTCAAGATTAGAGAGTGACTTTGTTGAGATAAATGTTAACCCCCCATGTCTGAGGTGCTGGAGTCTCAAAGGGTTTCTTGGCTTGTCTCAGTCACGAGCCAAGAGTGGATTTTGCATCAGGCGCTGTGCTTAAAATTCTTGAAATATAGTTTTTGCTGCCATTGCTGAAGTTATTTCTTGTCTTGTTACTTCAGCTCCAGTTGCCTGTGGATCAGGCACAGGGAACACTGATAACTTTAAGATTTCACTTCACAAATAGCCAGGCAGGCCAGCATTTTACATCAAACATTTTTTATGTTTGACCCTTTTTATACCTCCTTGTTTTCTTCCTTCCCCTGCTCTCCTAAATGGAAATTACCACTCTGAGAGTCTGGATTTATTGCAGAAATAATTGGGCACACTGACAGATTTTAACAGGACAGATTTCAGGGTGCCACAGTGCAGATCTGACAGCTTCATCTGGCCTTACATCTCGCTCTTGGCCAGCAGGGTAGTCCATACCATACTGCCACAGTAATTAATCAGCTCAGGGCTTTGTTAGGGTCCCTGTGTGGGTATGAGTTGCACAAAAGGATCTGCTGACTTAGCTTTTTAGCCATAAAGTAACTTGACAGTGTCCATTCCACTCCCAAAACAAATGGCTGAAACCTAGGAAAAAAAGCAGATTTGGAAGCAGGTGTGCACTGCTTCAGGAGAAAAATAAGTGCTGTGACTGAAATCTGTACAACCACTGAAATTGCTTAATCTTTGCTTTTGACTTATACTTCAGAGCTATAATGAAATCCTTCCAGCTTTTTGAGGTTAGACTGTAGAATTGTGATGGCTTTATTTATTATTTAATACTACTCTTGCCTGTCACAGCCTCATCCAATATTTGAATTGCTTGGGTTTGACTCTTTGTTGGTGTGCCACAGGGCATCAGGAGCAGGCAGCCACCAGCTCCACAGCACTTTAATCTGCTCAAACTTTCAGTCAGGTTTGATGGCACAGTGAAAAATGCTGCCTTAATTCAGGTGTGTGTAGGGACAGTCACAGGGATAGCAGCACGTGCCTTGACGTGTGTGCTCCCTCCCCTGCATTCCTGATGTTCTTTCCTCCTTGCTCTGAACTGGGAACTATTTCTTGCACTACCTGGGTGGCACGGGTGCCAAAATTTTTAAGTCTGTCCTGGGAAAGTGGTGGACACCTGCAATTCCTGTTGAGGTCAAGGAGAAGTGTACAAATGCCCGGCGTTTCTCTTCCAGGTCACCTTTCAAACAAGTGCTTTTTCACAAAACCTCTTTTTTTTTTTTTTTTTTTTTTTTTTTTTTTTTTTTTTTTTCTTTCCTTTAAAACCTTTACAAGCGCAATCTCTGCTATCAGGTGCTTTCAGCTCCTCTCGTTTTTTTGGTGGTTTCACATTCAGGGACTCCTGGAAATGGAAAAAAAGGGGAAGGTTGCTTTTCAGAAGCATCCAGGTACAACCTGGAGCTGTTGTGCACAAACCCTCGGGAATGTTTTTAAGTAAATGGATAGAAAGCTCCAAGGAAAGTAGTGTGAGACTTTTGCTCACTTTTTAGCATTCTCTTTAAAGCTACAGCAAAATAAAAAGATGCTAAAATGTAAATGCATGTCCCCTTGTTTTGCACAAGCTCTGCTGAAGAAAACTCTGCTTGCAGCCCATTTCTGTTCTCCCCCTCATACTGATGGGGTGGAGGGGTGAGGAAATGGCTGTGTTGGGGCTTAGCTGCTTCTTGGGGTAAACTGACCACAGCTGGCTACTGTCTTTCATGGTTAAGGAGAGGAAAAAACCAGTTTTGAGCTTCCCTCTTTAATTGGCATCTTCCCTTACAACTTCTTGCTCACAGTAATGTGTAGCTGGTTTAAATTGCTTTGCACTTCCTTGGTGTTTCAGAAGTATTCAAGCAAGTTAAAAACATACATCCTGAAAAAAAAAAAAAAGAAAAAGAAAAAAGAAAAAAGGTTTACAAATGTATTTTTTTTTTTGTTCTAAATTCCTGAGTTGTACATGAGACAGGACTTCTACTGCCAATGTGTAACACACTTACAGAAATAAGAGGACCGAAGTGTTTAGGGATGCATGAGCCTCATCTGGTTCTGCTGGCCCCAAAAACCCACAAAAGGATGCTGCAGAACAGGTTTGACCAAACCCTGCAGCTCACATTGGCAAAAGGTACAGGGCTGGGTAGTTTTCCTGTTCAAATATTGACTTGTGCGGTGAGGTTTGGCTTGGTTTATTTTATTTTATTTTTTTAATCCAAAGACCTCAATGTACTGTTGTAGGAACTTCTTTCACCTCTGCTATCTCAAATCCTGTTTATAGAAATGTGGGTGTGTGGGCTTGATAGCTGTTTAACCCTAACCTTTGCTTCAGCAGCTGACTTTCAGGCACTCTGTTTCTCAAGATTAATACCCTTTTAATAAAAATAACCTTGTGTGCATTGAACTCTGCTTAAATGTGGGGGTATCTGAAAACAAGTTGAAAGTGGCTTTGCGAATGTTATGAGCAGAATGTAAAAAAAAAAACCCAAAAAAATTCCTAAAATAGCATGGAAAATGTTAAAATATTTTCTGCACTTTTACACATTAAGAAGGGAGTTTTTCAAAGGAGCCAGTGGGCAAATGCTAGGGGAAGCACTACATAAAACACTTTTCAAGGCAGCCTTTACCACAGCTGAATAAATTATATGGTGGGTACAGATAAAGGTGGACACCAGCAGGAAGAAAGTGGGAGAAATTCAGGTCTCTAGTGCTGCCTAAAAACAAAAGAAAAAAATACTAACAGTGGTAAGATAAAAAGCAGTTCTTTAATGAAAGCTTTCAGGTGCACAAAGTGTAGGTATGCAAGTGAGTAATACAGGATTTCTACAATTTTAATAAGGTTAATTAATTAGTATATTTAGCAGGTATATGCAATAAGAGACTTGTTGCCCCGGGGTCCATCCCTTGGAGTTGGTCCAGGGGGTTGTTTACTCTATATTTTGTGGTGAAAAACAAGGATCCTGGTTAGATATTCTCTTATTGAGAGTGTGGTTAAACAGAATTCCAAGAGCCTGTTAGAAAGGGTTGGCTTCTTATTCTGAAATGTGAGAGAGGGCAGGAAAAGTGTCGGGGATGAAGAGAGACGGGGAAGACTGATTCAGTGATCAGAATCCAAACACTTATATTCTATTTCAGGGAGACTAGTAATGTGTACTACAATGATTGGGTTAGGGATCACATAAACAAACTTATGCATTTTAAACATCTCTCTTGCTTGCAGAGGTCTGGTGTAATTTTCTTTTTCTGGTAAACCCGTCTGATTGAATCTTCTTGCAATCCTCAAAGTTCCATTTGCTTTAGCCAAGGCATGATGTTATCAAATCTCTTATGTTAACCAGGTCCAAAGCTCATCATTCGTCTTGTGTCCCCAACATTTCCCCCTTTCTTTTCAACCAAAACCACTCCTTTAATGGCCTTATTAATTAATCTACGCACAAATTGAAAGGTATCATGATTAATACAATTGTCACATACATACCTATCCTGAAAATAATATTTTAGCTAAAAACTCCTGCCACTGAAAGGCTCAGGCTTGATCATTATAAATTGAAAACATTCCTGATGGCAGCCACATTACTGTATTTGGAAAGACTGCCAGAAGTGTAATTGTACCAAAAGGTTTGATTCTTTTACACGGGGTGACAGGGAGATACATTTAAAAAATTTCAGACTGATTTCTTCCCATGTATTTAAAATTAACATAAAAACCCACTTTCACAGAACGCAGGAACTCTGATTCTTGGGGTTCCAAGGGTGTTTCAGGAGGGCAAGGCATCACATTTGATGCGACTTGATTTGCTTTCAAAGTTTTTAGTGTAAATATTAGCGTAGGGTTCTGGAGGAGCTATAGAAAAGCGCTAGGAACTACAGAGCTATACATTAAATGTAAATGTAAGTGTAAATAATGATGATGATGATGATGATAATAATAATGTATAGAGCTATACATGAAAAATCTACAGATCCATGAGAGGCATCCCAGGGGGACACCAAAAGCCGTGTCCTGCGCGTCCAGTCCTCGAAGGGGTGGGTTTGTGCTTTAAGCTGAGGGCAAAACCTCCTCCCTGTGCTGACTCCTGCCTTGGCTGTGTTGTGCCTGCAGTGGCTGAGGAACCCGGGCCCCCAGCATGAGAAGAGGACTCTCTTTGGGGACATGGTGTGCTTCTTGTTCATCACCCCGCTGGCGACCGTCTCCGGCTGGCTGTGCCTGCGAGGAGCCGTGGACCACCTGCACTTTAGCAGTAGGCTGGAAGCTGTTGGCCTCATTGCACTCACTGTGGCACTCTTCACTATTTACCTCTTTTGGACCCTGGTAAGTGTCAGGGCTTTTTTTTAAATCACAGGGGGAAAGGGAAAGAGCGAACGGGAAAATTGATGGCACGGAGCGCTCTGGATCATTGCACGGAGTTTTGCTTCTGTTTGCCTCCTGTGCTGGTGAGCCCAAACTGCACCTGCAAGAAACCTCTTGGTTCCACACCATTCAAGCTCCCCGGGACACCAGAAAGACAGTTTGCTTTGGGGTAAGGGTTCTCAAACCCCAAGGCTTCCAAAATTGAATGACAGAACTAAGATTATGAGTGTGTCGTTTCAATAGAAGTATGTAATATCACATGGTGGGAATTAGAGTTTAAGGCTTTAGAATATAGTGATATATATAAAACCAGATAGAGATTTTAGGGTGGAGACTAGCCCTTCTTCTTCACCTTCTTCTTCACTTTCTTCTTCATGAGTTTAGGTAGTATTGTGTAATCAATAAAAAAGTCCACGTGTGGGCCACAACTAGTTATTAAGTTAAAAGTAAAAATAATTTGAATGTCATTTCTTAATTAGACAGTTGGTCCTTAAAAAAACCTTGCAAAGAGAGAGATACAGCTCCATTTTTAGTTTGTTAGAGGGAAGTACTATAGAACTCACAGTTTGTGGGACTGCGGTAGAGATAAAACTAATATCTGACTCCAAACAAAAAATACTGTCTCATACATTTAATTTCAACCATAACAAAAAACTCCAGAGAATCCATGCTACAGGAGGGAGTTTCACCAAATGTAATGTGCAAAGGGTGAAGGCACAGCACACACACACAAAAACTATTCAGGTGAACAACTCGGCTGCCACAGAGGATTCAGATTTCATTGTAATGCAACATCTTGCCAATTTTACAATTCAGAAGTGTTGGGCGTGGGGGAAGTCAGAACACACACGTGCCCAGGTCTGTAAAGACAGAGCTGCTTTTCCAGTGCGGGTTAAATTGCATCCTGCACCCCAGCACGAGTCAGTCTCATGCCAGTCCATGCTGAGAGCCACTTGCTCTGTGTCAGGGTGTTGAGCAGAGATAATTTACTGGCCCCAGTGCGCTGACAGGCAGCTGGCCCGGCAGAAATGGGAGGAACACAGGGGACAGCTGCCAAAATGGGTGTTTATCAGGCCATGGTGTAGCAGCTCAGTGAGAAGCCCAGGTTAATGCTGTTTTTGACACTTCACACCTCTTTTTGAGGAGTGGGAAGGGTGGGGTGGATGCTCAGATGGTCCAGGCTGTGCTGCTGGGGCAGGAAAAGCCCAACCTGCCCTGGCATGGCCACATGGCCAGCACACAGCTCTGCCCCTCTCTGGCTATGGCCATACTCTAGCCCAGATGTAAGAGCCTAAATGAGAGATGTGGGACTCCAGGCAGCTCTTCCAAATGCAGGTTATTACATCCAAGAGGTTACAGCAGCCCAGGGTCGTGGGTGACAGAGCCTGTGCCTACAGCTGTCAGCTGCAGCTGCAGGCAGCCCTGGAGACCCTTTAATTTTGGGACTCCAAATACTGTACAAATACTGTACAATACAAATCTTAATGCTGTGTTAAGATGCTCTTCTTTGCCGAGCATCTTAATACAGTAGAACCAATCTATACCTTGACTTTTATCTATAGCCTATCATAACTACTATAATTACCATATTCATGTTACTATTCTCCAATCAGTAAAAGTTAGTACATTACAGTTTAAGCTAGAAGTTGTTTTTCAGTTTTCATGCAGTGGAAAATTCTGAGACCCTTTTTCTACTTGCAACATTTGCTGACTTGTTTGCCTGTGCTATTTTCCTGCTTGGGGAAAACATCTTCTTGTTTGAGGTGGGTTTATCCTTTGCTCTAAGTCATAAAAGCCCCTTCTAACTAACATGCTCTTTGTCTCCTTGGCTATCCACTAAGACTGGCTCAGCAATTATTTTCTTCTATATCAAAACTTGCTTCCATCTCTATTCCTTCTTCAGATTCTACATTCAAAAATCTCTCTGCCAAGCATCCTTATCTGTGAGACTTTCTTGTCAAACTTTCATCCTTCCCAACACCCAGACCCCTTCCAGCACATTTGGGCCTGTGTAAGCTGCTGAGGAGGTGGCACTTTTAAAAAGCTGCATTGGTGGAGCAAGAAACCCCCCTGTGCTGAGCCCTGAGGAAAAGGGGGTGTGAGGGGAAGACAAAAACCCCACACTTCCTCACAAGTACCTCCCAGAAAGCTGTGAAAGGGAAATCTCATTTGCACATTTGTGAACCCTGTCTCACCCACGGAGGAGTGCAGGCAGTGCTCCACAGGAGGGAAAGCTCAGTGTTTTGCCTCAGCCTCGTGCAGTTCATCTTTTTTGTTGTTTTCTGCTTTTCTGTGAGGCAGCAGCACTCTCCTGAGACAGGCCATGTACTCCACTTGTTTTTCCTGCAGTGCTGGGTGTAGATGTGCCTGGCAGGTACGCAAGCAAATATTGTTCAAATTTCCTTTGTGTACGGCTGTCTTAGGTACAAAAATGCCGAACAATTTACCTAGCACACTTAATTCAGAGCCACCAAATTGTTAGAAGTGGTAAAAGGCCTTTTTTCAGGTAGATTTCATTAGGTATGACACAATCTTGCTTATTAAGACTGCTGCAGCATCCCAGCTTTGGTCCCTATCCCTGGGTGTTGCATTTGCAGAGTTAAGAGGCAAAAATCCCTTATGTTCACTTTGTAAATTTTACCCCTCCTAAAGCACATGGAGAAATGTGCTATTTTCTCTTGGAGAACATGCTAGTGGTACTGAGCCTGATGTAAATGCATACCTTGCTTGATTTAATCAAAATTCAGTATTTCTGATGCTCTCTCAGTTGTGGACAGCTTGATAATGGTAATTCCATTTTAAATTGTTATTTGGGGCAGTAGGAGATGGATGGGCCAGGGGAGCACTGTGCTCTCTTGAGAAGGGCAAGGCAGGAAGGCTTTTAGGGGAGTGAATCATCAAATGATTGAGGCTGGGAGGCAAAATAACCTTCCTTTCGGTGATGTAGGAAAGCCCCAGCCTGGGTTGGCCTCGGGGAGGGCTCCAGGCTCCCCTTGTAGTGCAGGAAGGAATGGTCCCCCACACACAGAAGTGTTAATTCCACAGAATTCTTCAGCAGCATGTGCCTTGTCACTTTCAGGAGTGGGAGAATCCTGTGGCACAGCCGTGGCTGTGCAGGGAATAGGTTCAGTGCTGAGGGGTAAATGACACGCAGGATGATACAATATTCCTTTAGGCCCTGGGGAAACGAAGAGAGCTACAACTTTGTTTTACTTCCAGTAAATCAGCCTTCCTTCTCCGGAGGCAAAAGCTGGCATACAGATTATTTACACACCACAGTTGTCCCAGTGAGCAGTGAACAGCAGGGATGCTATTTTTGGCATCCCAGAAGCTGTTTTATCCCTCCCTCTAAAACAGACAATTTCTCCATAAAACACTGTTGCTTTTACTCTGTATTTTTAACACACACACACACACACACACACACACACACACCAAAAAAGGCACCTGGTCCTCTCAAGAAGAAAGCTCCAGACACAAAAAGGGGATTGTTGCTTAAACTAAGACTTCAGGGCCACACTTTGCTCTCTCTTGTATAATACACATACCTAGTTTAACAATGCAGATATTGCTCAAAAACCTCATCTTGTGCTGCTTGAAAACCCAACCTGAACTCCAGCTCACTCTCCTGAAGCTGCCACTGCATTTTACAGGGCATCCCCCTTTGCAGATGTTGGGGAGTTTTCACCCTCCTCACTACTCCAAGTGACTTCTGCTGCTCCTGCAGTGTCTTTTGAGAAGAGATTTCTCACATTCCTTCATACACCCTGCTCCACAGAAACAGAAGGTGCAGGATGCTTTCCTTCAGGGGGAAGAGAGGAGGCTGAAAGTTGGGGGAATCAATCGGAAGAGCTGTCTTTGCCAAAAACTGCTTAGTAAACCAAAGCCTTATAGGTTTCTCTCAAGACAGCTGCAAAAAGATCTAATTAAAAAAAAAAAAAAAAAAAGAAAAAGGATTTTTAGCCATTTTAGGACATTATTGAAAGGTAAATTTCTTTAGTTCTTTAGTTATTTTTGCAGTAAGCAAGGATATGGTGCATGGGTCAACTCCTGCCTGCAGCTCAAGAAGAAAACCATCATCACTTGGCAGATTTCTCTCAAAATTTACAGTTTTTTGTTAGTTTTTGTTTCTTTGTTTTTTTTTTTTTGTTTTTTTAAACTGCATATACACATCCTCTTACACAGCTGCAACTCTCACAACGCTTGTCTGCCACTAAAACAAGTTGTGAACTATTTTTTAAAAACCTGAGGCCGGGCTACCTTGCATCTCCACAGCCATCACACATTTCTCTTCCACAAAAAGGTTGGAATTACCTGACAACAACAAAAAATAATTTCCAGACACAATCTCAGTTGAGACACACACTTTGTCATCTCATTGACTCTGTGCAAGCCCAACTTTGATGCATTCAGCAGTAAAATATTACAAGGTAGAACACACCTGTCTTCATCTGCCTGCAAACAATTACACTCTTTGTCAATTTGGCAACCTGAAACAAGAGAGGATATCCCAAATTCTCATTCCATGTGTGCCAGCAGCTCTTGAGAAAGGCAGAGGCAGGATGTCTGATTTTTCAGGCTGTGAAAAAAGGGGAATGGGAGGTAAAGTAGTCACAGGCTGCTTTTCTCCTCTGCTGCGGCACCTCAGGGCATGGTGGGTTGTCTCCATGATATTTTCTGAAAAATCCTTTTTGCTAGGATTTTTCTCCTATTCTAGCTGAGAAGCCTCAGAAAAGAAATGTAAACAATTAACTGTCTGATGGCTGTGGAACGTGGGCTGGACATTGTTTACCAACAGGGGCACCTTTGGTCCACGTGAGTTGTTTCTACTTAATAACAAATCAAAGATGTGTCAGAGTCTGAGAGTCATGAGCTTTTGTTATCATTCCATTCCTGTCCTTTCTAGCCTTCTGATGGATCCTTTCTCTCTGTTCTTTTTAGTATAGTTTTAGTGTAGCATTTTGATATAATATCATAACATAATAAATCAGTCTTCTGAAACATGGAGTCAAGATTCTCCTCTCTTCCCTTGTCCTGGGACCCTCGAACACAACCATAGTGGGTCTCTCTTTTCACCAGTTCTCCCCCATTTTTGTCACACTGGGAGGCATCTGGAGCCCCAGCTGAGCCCTTGCAGGGTGGCAGTGAGTGAAGGCAGCTCTGTCCCTTCTGTCCCCAGGTGTCCTTCAGGTACCACTGCCGGCTGTACCACGAGTGGCGTCGGAACAATCAGCGGGTGATGCTCCTCATCCCGAAATCTGCCAACGTCCCCTGCACCCAGCAGTCCCTGCTGGGCCTGCAGCCCCTCAAAAGGAGCTCCAAGGAGACAATCGTGTGATTTGGGGTGCAGCTGCACACTGAAGGTGGTTTTGGTTTGTTTTTTTTTTCCACCTCAGACCTGTCGGGGTCGGGCAGCGTCCAGCACCCAGGAATGTGCAATTTGGATTTACAGACTGACTGCAGAGGGATAAGTCACAGTCAGAGTTCAAGTGGTGGATGCTGCAGTCATCTGTGGCATCTGCTAAGCTGCCAAACGTGTTTAGTGAGCAGGGACCCTATGGATTCTGCAAATAGGTTAATTGTTGCGTCATCGAGTGATGCAAACTTTTTTTTATTGTTTAAAGTATTAAACTATGGTAATTAACAATGCAAAACAGGTTTTAAAAGTGCTTTGTTTCTATGATTTCTTGTTCCTACAGTGCTGTTTCTTTAGGCAGCTGGACAGTAACCAATATTTATTTCTGCTTCCTAAAGCACAGCAATGGCATTTCCTCATTTGATTTTATCTGCAGGTCCATTATACCAATGTTTTGATTATTAAAATCTGTGTATAATGAGCTCTACAAATTGGCACATTATTTAAATGCTACAAAGTGATTGGAAAATTGTATTACCCATTTCCTATTTGGCAGGGAAGGTCTGACAGGAAGATTCTTCAGTTATGACTCTAGCATGCGCAAGAGAAAAATTACACAAATTGCAATAATCTTCCTGTCAAAAGTATTACAGCACATAGCACTCAGGAAAAAAAAAAAAGATATTGTACTTTTCCATAAAGAAGCACTATATTCTTCAGTGAAATGCACATTCTGCTGGTGTGAATTCAAACTTAGCCAACATATCCTGCATTTATACCAGGCTGAATTTAACTCTGCAGCTTACTTTTGTATAGGGAAAGCTCTGCATACATAATGAATGAGATCATCAGATAAGTTTTAGGAAGCAGGGACTCATCTTGCATGAAGAACAGCATTATTTTAAAGCAGCAGAAACTCCAGCTTGACAGGTAGGATTTGGCAGAGTGTGTGCAAACCCTGACCTCTCATGGTAGCACTGAGACCAAAAAAAAAAAAAAAAAAAATTAAAAATATTTAATACACAGTCTTCTATGGTGACCAAATTGAATTTGGAGTGTAAAATCAGACCTTATTCCTGGGTGACTTTATCTGCTTCCCTTTGGTTTTATGCCTAATTCATTCAGCAATTCTTCACTCCCAGAAGAGACACACTTATTTTAAATAACTACACAAAATCTCATTACCAAATGCTGTTGGAATTAGAAATCGATACAGAGCCCCTCTGAACAGATGCATTTCTTAGAATTGTGCATGGATGGCAGTGCCATCATGTGCTTTGTTTTCCAAAAACTGCAGGAACTGGAAATCAAAAGGAAGATGTAGCAGGAAGGCTAATAATTTGTTATTCATAAAGTTCAAGGTATTATGGGTATTTACCACCAGACAAGAAGTTATTTGATGTTTTGTGTGAGCTCTGTGGGGGTGAAAAAAGCTTAGTACACAAAGCCAGATCTGTTAAATTTCTTTATTCTGTCTGTGGACCAGTCTAGCTGTGAGCATGTTATTTAACGATGTTCTTTGTGACTGTCAGTCATGGGGATAGGAGAATCACGGGGATATAAAGCAATAACAGCCTCATTCCAACAGAAAGGCACTTAGACAACGAGCCAAGGTGGGTAGGGAAGTCATGAACCTGCAGATCAGCCTGACAAGGCTGGGGTCGCTCGTGTTTGGCTGTGAATAACTGCTTCTCTTCCAGGGAAAACTAAACAAGGATCTGAAGATAAGGATATCACAATCTCTGTGACAGCCTGAAACCTGTAGAGCTTTATTTTATTTTTATACCTCTTCCCAGTGGTAAATATTTGTAATGAAGACTGAACATGCACTTAAGTTGAATTCCAGATTTAAAAAAAAAAAATCTGCTGGCCAGGGGCAAAGAAATAAAGGAAATCTAGCTGGGTCAGGATGCTGTCAGTGTTTTAATGCCTACAACACATACTTTAAGTAAGGTTTATTCAGAACTTTATTACTGCTCTCGAATTCTTTGAAAGACTTGTTTTTCCTAGTGAGTGCTATTGTTGGCTTTGCCTCATGAAACCAAAAATCAGGGTGATAGGGAATTAAGAGGCAAAACATTCAGGGAAACATTTATTCAAGTGAAGCTGCAAGGTCTGTGCACAGACATCAGCACAGTGGCTTGGCCCAGCTCATCTGTGCAATTTTAAGGTTTTTTTAAATTTTTTTGTTGTTGTTGTTGTTGGTTTTTGTTTTTTGGTTTTTTTTTTTTTTTTTTTTTTTGGTTTTTTTTTTTTGTTTTTTTTTTTTTTTTTTTTTTTGTGTTTTTTTTTGTTTGGTTTTGGTTTGTTTTTTTTTTTAGTGTAAAGACATCTTTACTTACCTGAAGAAGGCATATTGAAGCAGACAGAGATTAAAAGCATGGTCCAGTCACAGTAGTGCCCCATGGTTTTTCTTGAGGAAAAAAAAAAGTGGCAGAAAACATCCAGTCAGACACTTACCACTGCATTAAACCCATGGAACAAAAAAAAAGCATACTTGTATTCTTCCTTGCTTTTTCTAAAACACAAGAACTGGGAGGTGAGAGAGATTACTCCTTAATCCCACTCCTGCTCTAAAGATTTACAGACAGAAGGATCTCCCAGATGGGAGCTGATTTTTCCTCCACGAGTTGATGCTGTAGATGCCACACCAACCCCAAATTTCCACAAAAAACTGGATTATTACAGCAGATTATTAAAAACAGATTATTACAGAATATTTTCTACAACAGCAGCAACACCCATTTCTGTCTGAGTAAAAGTGAAAAGACAAAATTAACCACAGCAGAAGCCACAGCCAGCAAAGCTCCTGGCAGTACAATGACAGTTTTGTTATGCTCTCCTTAAAAAACAAAGTTAATTAAAGAACATAATTAATGGCAGGATGAGTGACCATCTTTTTATCTTTTTAAAATGCCACTCAACTTCTCTCTCAGCAGCTCTATGCTTTCTTCTCATGCAGCTGACTTGGTAATTTACATTTCTTTTCCAGATAAGAAGTTACATGTAAGGAACAGCATTCAACAGTATTTGAGCCAGTATTTTAAGTTGCAAATGATAAAAGCAGCCTGTTCTGATTCAGTGTGATGAGTGTAATGCAAAATGAGGAAGTTTTACTTTTTTTATATAGTCTTTCCCCTGCAGGACTTGCCTATCACATTACATAAAGATTTAGAAATACCCCAGTTTTCTGTTCAGCTGGAAGGAAGTCACAACAGAAGCAGTTATTAAAGATACTTCAGTTTTTGGTGTTGTTTGGCGTTTCTTTTCGTTACTCAACTGAACAGTTCTGCCTGACTGAGACCTCAAAATGTCGTTTACATTTCATTTATTTAAACCAGCTTTGCACCACTACAAAGTCACACAGGGCAAAGTGACAACTCTGCATAAAGGGACCCGGAGCCAATAAATGCAACTGGCCTTTGATGCAATGGGTACCATCAGAAAGAGGTTTGAGAACAGATACTGGGGCAGACTCATGCACTGAGAGAGCTAAAGAAGCTCTCCCTTTGGAACAAACAGAAAAACCCGATCTGTTAATAATTAAATATCTTTACTTGTTACTTCTCATGAGATGGCGCCTCATTTAACACACAACTGGTTAATTAAAGAAGCATTTTCCTTGCAAGCAGAACTGAGCCCTGCCTCTTTACTGCCAATTATTGGGTATTCAAAAGTATCTTTAAAACTACAGTGCCAACTCATGGAATCAGGCAATTTTTAAGGGTGGAAAGGACGATGCATTGAGTGCAACCACGGACCCAGCACCACCACGCTGAGCACAAACCACGTCCCCAGGTGCCACATCCACAGGTTTTGCTGAACACTCACGGGGATGGTAATTCCACCACTTCCCTAGGCAGCCCATTCCACCCCTTCAGTGAAGGAGCTTTTCCTAACATCCAGTTTAAACCCTGCCTGGAGCTGCAGGGGTTGTTGTGACCCGAGGGCAGGACCCAGCACTTCCCCTGGTTGTCCCTGACCCCACTGGCCTCATCCCATGGATCCAGCCTGTCCAGAGCCTCTGCAGAGCCCTCCTGGCCTCCAGCAGATCCAATTCAGTGTTATCCAGAACTCCAATGCAGTGTTATCTCCAAATTTACTGAGGGAAAACTCCAGATCAATAAAGATAAATAATAACCAGAGCTCGTCCCAGCACTGCTGATGACACCTCACTGATCCACTCTGTTATTCCACATTTCAAACTTAGTTTCACTTGCATTTCCAAACGAGACAGCTTTTTTAAAAAACCATGGGTTATATCTTAACCCTTAACCTGCTTTCAGGTATTAAATCTTCTGCTGACAGCCTCTCCTCCACACCTGCTTGTGGCAAGGCTACAAAACACTCGTCCTCAGTTTGGGGTTGAAAGGTTACAAAACCAAAGGGAATTTTCTTTATTCTAAGTGTACCAAATACTTTCCCAATAAAACCTGTCAAAACAGACAACAAATGTTGATATCCTATGTACAACATGCCCTTAGGAGTAACAACAAAACATAGCAACCTCAAAAACAAGATGCTGCAGTTGCAGGGGAAATCAATGTCACAGTTTCATTCCATGGCTTCTATTATTATGCAGAAAGTAAGACTTGCTTGCCAAAAATAATATTTTTTGTTCTGAAAGTGCAGAACAGCTATGAAAACTCACATCCAAGAGTTAATTTTTAATTGTAGGAAAATTCTATCAGTCAATCATCTTAAGCTGAAATGTGCCTTCCTTTATTAATGCCTCAAATGAAGCTTTTCTTCAGGGTTAATCACAGTGTTTTTATCACACAGAAATCCTGTATTTATGCAAACCTGCTAAAAATATACCAGGAGATCAGCAAAAGGCTCTGAGCAATAAATGCACACCAAGCAATACCTGGGATAAAACAGCTAACTTCTGCCATAATCCTGTGATGGAGCTAGTTGAGTATTATAAATAATTAAGTGTCCCAGCACTTCCTTGATGTCCAGGAAAAGCTAAATAAGCATTCACATCCATCACACACAGCCTCCCCTCCCTTTCTAAAAATCACCAATTATTATCAGTTGTCCTCTTTGGAACAGGGGCTTTAAGAGCTTTTATTCTCCATCAACTACTTGATTTCTTTGCCTGGAGAAAATCCTTCACAGTTATCACGTGGCCATTTCTGTAAAAGCAGCAGCATTTAACTTGAAGTACAGATACAGCTTACAGTTCAATATAAATACGAAACACAGGGTTTGACAGATAAAAACCATCCTTTTCAATCCAGAAACCCCCACAGTAGTATCAAAATGATACACTGATAAGACAAATTTTCATGGGAAGAAATTAAACTAAGAATAAGCATTTAAAATTACATTATTAATAGAAGGAAATTAATAAATAGCATCTGTTGAACAGAATTTATGTATTCATTTCTCTGTCCATATTTTGCTGTCAGCTTGGGACAAATGTGATGTATATATGTAAATCATGAACAAGGAAACACAAAGCAAAAACCAATTTTTAGGACAAAACTGCTGTCAACAGCACCACAAACAAATTTGCACCAGTTTTGACTACACTGGGGTTTTTATAATGAACACTGGGAAAAAAGAATGCAGTTCACA